ATTCATTGTATGAAAGGGACCGTGAAAGAGGACACTAAAATAGAAAGTTATTCTTCCGACTGTTTCATCTTAGTATTCTTCTTTGGTTTGACTGTCTGTCACTTTATTTTTTTATCGAACCTCGGACTACCAACTAGCCAGCAGCAGCTGCTTTTTGATATTTTCAAAAAGTTGTGCCCAAATAGCATTAACCCACCAAAAATTCTACTTTCGCCCAACCATCTACAGCAGAAGCACACTCCAAAGCTCTTCGTATGAAGCTCCCAACCAAAGAATTTCTTTCATAGGATTTAGACCTCCATTCCTCACCGAATACTTCTGAAATACAGCCTTCAGCCGAAATTCGTTTGCCTTCGCAACCACTTCCACCTTCTAGTTGGATGTTCCCGAAGTGCGGTATAAGAGGTGAGGAGAAAGGAAACTAGTGGACTCTTTCATTCTGACGGTGTTCTTATGCAACAGCAGACGTGACGTCACGTCTGTTGCTGCATAAGAAGACGCGAGAACGAAAGAGTCCACTAGTTTCCTTTCTCCTCACCTCTTTTACCGCACATCGGGATGTTCCAACTTGGAACACCTCTTAAGGTGATTCGCTGTGACATCCTTATTCCCGTAATCACTTCGAAACTTTAAGTGCACAAATATCAGCTTCCTCGACACGTGCAGCATTTAAATTATTACTCCACGTTTGCTGCACTGCAGTATACATGAAGTAGCAATTTCAAATGAAAAGGAGCACTGATTTCCGAGATTTGTGTAATTGAAAATTCGAAGTGGAAGTACATTTATAGCCATTTGTGGACTCAACAAGGAATCACCTTAATTGTGACATTATCATCGTCCTCATCTTTCCGTTTTCCATTGTCTTGCATCCTTTTTTAATTGTTAACTCCCTCTATTGAAACCGAAAAATCCTTTGGTTTCTTCCCCCATACGGCCACTAATGTGATGTAAACAGGGGAGGCAATGTGAATGTTTGTCCATCCCATCAACCATTCAAACAGTGGGAGAATGAAAGAGACGACAAAATCACAATGTTTACATCGCATTGTACCGCACCGAGGCGCTCCTTCGCGGCGTCCTCAACAGCGTTGCCAGAATGTTTACAAGCTTATCGGTATCAAAGGTTTTCAAAAATCGGTATTTATCGGTATTTACTATTTTAATTAATTTTAATATTTTTGCCGTTTTTGAAAGCGATAATTTTAACTTTTGGACTATGATCGGAAAATTCTGGACGAAAACTCCGGAGTATGTTTGAATTAGCTTCTAGAGGAAGCTGAAAACAACATCCAGCGATAGAAGAAAGAAGCTCTCCTGGAAGAAATTTGAGGAAAGTTCTGAGAGAAGTCGGAAAAAAACATCCGCGGAACTTCCAAAACATAAATTGAGAAACCTCTGGCGAAAATTTAAAGAAACTTTCAGAAAAAATCAGATGTGCTTTAAAGGAAGGCAGAAATGTTTCGGAAATTGGAAGTAAATTCCAGAAGTAGCCATTTCCAGGGAAAGCCAGGAGAAGCTCGGAAAAACCTTCTAATAGAAGTCAAAAAAAGCAACGGGACAAAATTCCAGAACTAGACGAAGGAAATTTCTGGGAGAAGTTTAATTGAACTTCCAGGAGAAGACGGAAGAAACTTCCTGGAGACGCTGGCAGAAACTTCCTAAGGTTGATTGGGAAAAAAATTCTGGAGAAGTCGGAAGTCAGAGCGCTTACGGAGCAGTCGAAAGAAACAATGTGGGATGTGCTAATGATCCAGAAAGTGTTCATAAACAGCCCTGAAGCCCTCGCAATGCCCCTGAAGTTTTTGGAACATTCCTGAAATGTACTTAGGGATTTTAGGCTGTTATGGAGTACTCTGATCATTTTTGAAATACTTGGAACTTCCCTAATTATAATGAGACTACCGGAATATCTCTAATCAACTTTGAAGGTCTCTAGACTTTCTTGAAGATTACGAAATTTCTAAAGCGCACAATTTTCTTGAATTAATTGTAACATCAGCAATGAAGTTCTCTGATCTTCCCGATTTTTCTAATTTTTAAAAGTTATCGACACTGCCATTAATAAGCACGGAACTTCCCATAAAATGTTCTCACAATGCGCTAATGTTCATGTAACTTCCCTTACTTTTCTTAGATTTGCATGAACCCCACGGAACATTGCTGAAGTTTTCGGAAATTGCCTGAGTTTCTCTGAACTCTTTTAAAATTTCAGCGATTTCATTTCCCATATTAAAAAAAAAACAAGTTTTTCACAATAATTTTCTCCAAAATTCGAGAGCGGGCAGGCAATAATCATATTGATTATTTAAATAAATCGGTATAAATCGGTATAAAACCTCAAAAATCGGAATTCTGAGGAACCTTATCTGTATATCGGTATCTAGTTCGGAATCGATATAAATACCGATAAATCGGTATATCTGGGAACGCTGCTTCGCGGCGTCCTCAAATACCCACGGCGAATGAGAACAACTCAAATTTGAGTTTAGTTCACTCATAATCGCCAAGAGTGCAGGAACTCAGCGATGTGTAAAATTTGTCTCATGGTTTCCTGTGGAAAACCTAAAAAATCTGCCGGAAAATGAGGAAATTGACGAAAATTTTATTCAGTTTCGGAGTAGTACCAATAGACTGAGTAAATCCAATCTTTACTTTTCTCATATTCAGGAATTTTTCCCTGGAAAATCCTGGAAAAACCTGGGAAAACATGAGGCAAATTTACTCATCGCTGAGTTCCTGCACTTTTGGCGATTATGAGTGAACTAAACTCAAATTTGAATCGTTCTCATTCGCCGTGCCGTATTCTGTCATGAGATAGTTAGAGATGTGACCCGATATTATAGAGATGTGATCGATAAAAAACTATATCTAGATAGAGCAGGAGTTAGGGCGTAGCAGCTTTTGTAAACAATGACTTCTCTCGACGATTTCTAGGAATTCAAGGTACGCCCACGCAAACCAACATAAGCATTAGATAGAGGAAGCCTTCCCCTATCCGATGGTGATCTTGATTTGTGTGGGCGAGCCTTGGTTTTCTAGAATTATTCGAAAGAAGTCATTGTTTACAAAAGCTGTTACGCCCTAATTCCAGCTCTATCTAGATATTTTTTATTTTGGAGATAATTTATCGGATAAAGTGGATTTATTCAGAAATGAATCGATTTACCAAAATAAAGATTTTTTTTATAAAACTTGAATAAATCTGGGAGTTTTGTCCCCCTAGGTTGGAAGGGAAAGTTTAACGAAACTTCCGTTGAACGATGGTAGAATTTTCCGGAGAAAGTTGGAAGAACCTTTCGTTAAAAGATGGGCAAGTTGGATAACAAAAAACTTCCGGGAGATTTTGGAAGAAACGTCCGTGTAAAGTCGGGTGAAACTTCCGAGAGAAATCATGAAGAAATCGAAGAAACCGTTTAAAATCTTCAAGGGGAAGTTGGAAGAAACTTCCAGATTTCGGAAAAATCTTCCGGTGGAAACCAGGGCGAATCTGGTGAAACATCCGGAGGGATGTTTGCGGATGAAAACAAAATATTTAAATATTGAAATATGTTGCATGCTTCATAAGTCGATCGGCAGAAGTTCAAATTCTAATAATCGGAAATTATTCCTGGTCACCGAATAACAATATTTTCCTATTCCCGGGTAGCTAGAAATGGCCGGGAAATGGATTGCTTTAAGCGATCTAAATAGTCAACTCCGGAAGTCTACGAATAAACATTAATTTCTGATATCTCGATATCTGTCTTATAGGTCAACTCCGTAAAGTCAACACCTTACGGAATAAGTCTACATAATAATTGGCTCAACTCAGAGCCGTACTCAAGATATTTTTCGGGATAAACTCTCATTTTTGCGGCTCCACCCCACCTCCTGACATTCATTTTTACGATGTTCCATCACATTCGTACCTATTTTTTCTGACATGGAGTGGGAGTTGTTCTACATTCAAATCCGTTTTTTTTTCCAAGATGTCGTAGAACTTTGATGAAGTTGTTCAAACTTTTCTTGAACTTTTCTTATGTTTGATTTTTTTCCATGGATTTGTTTTCCGTCGATCTTGTTTTCCGTGCTGAGCACCAATGCTACCGACGCCAGGAAGGCAGCTCCCACACCTGGACCCTACCTAGGGGCTGTCCATAAACTACGTAGACAGTTTAGGGGGGGGGGGGGGGGGTGGAGGTTGACAATTATCCACGGCCCATACAAATTTTAATTTTTTTTGTATGGACAATTGTCTACGCAGGGGGAGGGAGGGGTCAGTAATCCTAAAAAAAACTATCTACGTAGTTTATGAACAGGTTAAAGCTCATATCATTTTGATAGAGTTCATTGAACTCTCATGAAGTTCCTAGAACTTACCAGGAGGACATTGAACATACCTTACCCTATTTGTATGGGAAATCCGTTTCGAACGGAACAGAGAATAGGGGTGATTAACTCCTCCGAAACAAATCACTATGGTTCCCACTAACTACCCATAACAGGTAAAACACTGCCAAAAAATATACTTTACCAAAGTGCAGAAAGATTTATCAGAACCAGAAATGGGGTGTTAATCCCTGTTGTTGAAATATCTCCCCACAAAAAGTATTATCCAGCAACTAGCAGACAACCCAGCACGACAGTAATGTCACCCGTGGAAAAGTTTGGAAGACCCGGACTCCGACTGCTACAAGTGCCCATGTGATAGAGAACAAGAACAATGTGCTGAAAAAGTGTGCAGGCATAAAACAAATTGCGAAAATAGCTATCTACTGTGACGGAGGTGTGGAAATGTACCGAATCGTTGCTGTGGCGGTTTGCAGCCCGCCGTGATTTTGTGGGTATCGTCGGCAGATGTGCACATCTATGGGTTGTGCTGTGTGTGTGTGTAAGGTGGGGAGGATCCAGGGATAAGCAAAACAGTAAAAAGTACGACCGAAAAACTAGCTTTTTGTTGTTGTTGTTGTTAGTACAGAACAGTGAGGAATGCATACCGGATAAGTAAGAACACTTACTAAGACACAATTGTTGCACGAAAGTGATTCCCCGTTCCACCGCTACTGACGGAATTCCAAACTATGTATTGGATGGTGGAAGATTAACGATTTCTGGGATTACTTCCGCCGATTCTTTTCCTTTTCCTACGCCGGTCGGTTCTTGCTAAACGAGGCAATTATCTTGTACCCAGTTTTTACTCCGTTCTTTGCGGGGGAAGATAATAGTACTTGCACTTGCAAACAAGAAAGCAATCCCTGCCAGTGTCTTGTTCAATTCTGCTGTGGTAATTCGAGAAATAAATTAAACAAAAAGGAAAAGTCAATTATGGTATAATTGTTGGGGAATCAGGATCAGGATGGACCCGGAAAAAATATATATTAAGGATGGAGTTGGTTTGGATTTTTGGACGGGGGGTCCAATATGTGTATGAAGCATAATTTGAAAACCTGAAGCTTTTTTTTTCCAGAATTTACTAATTTGAAGTCCACATCCAAATCATTGTTGGACCCCCCAGGAAAGGATCCCCGCTCTATGGCGACATACCGACTCATCGTGGTCCGGGTTGGGGTGGTGGTGGAATGGCAACTTCTAACAAACAAAGAAACGAGCCTTGCAGCAATATTGCAAAGTTCATCTGAAGGAAGGCAGGCAACCGCCAGGGCGACTGACAATGAACGTGTGCGAGAGAAGGATAATAATTGGAGGAAAATTTCCGGATGCCAAACCAGAATAAGGGGGAAATTGTCTGGAAAAGCGGATGTTTTGCGTCGGTTGTTTCGAGGGGATCCCTGTTATTTGATAAGGTGGGGGTATTCTGCCATTGATTGGATTTCTCAACCTACCTGTAGATTGATCAGCGGGGTGAAATCCTCCATTCCTTTTTTCGCTGCTCACGCTCCAATGGAAGAAGCAAACACTGATGATCTACTGAAAACTCCCGGGCACACTGCAGTAGGTATCCGGGGAAACAGAAGCAATGCAAATTCGGTATCACTCTTTTCACTTCGTTTTCTTTTGCTTATTACTCAGTCCCCTATTCTTGCTTTGTTTTGTTGCGGTCACCACAATCACACTCCTCTTCTTGGTGGTGTGAAACACATACACAACAAACGTTTACACAATCGCTCCTACTGTTTTCGCCTTTTCACTATTCTAATAAAAATGCACCAGCCTTGGGAGACTACGTAACTGCGTTTTATTCTCCTACTGTCCACCCAAAATTCGCGAAACATCCGACGTCCCAGTTGAGGAGCGCACAATCGACGACGAAAAATTTCAATTCACACACAATCGCGGACAATCACTCACTTTTGCCTATTTTTTTGCACTTTGGATGCTCAAAATTCTGTGTCCACACGAGAGCTTAATCCTCCCCGTTGCTTGCTTGATGGCCGATCTGATATCCAATGCGAGCTCCAAACAACGAATGCGACATGCAGCAGTGGTGGATCGAATCGAGTCGCGAGAAAAAAAAAACAACGCAAAGCAAACACCCTTATTTTTCCTATTTTTCTTTTGCTGTTTTTTGTGACAGTTCGCAATAATATAATATCGAAGATAATTATCCAGAACAGCTCTACCTCTTGGTTGACTACTCCAGCGTTGCCAGATATACAGATTTCTTATTTTCACAGATATCCAACTGTAGAGATTTTATCACCATTTTAAACCGAGTTATACATTTTTTTCAATAATCAAAGTGATGCCCGCGCTAGAAAAAAAACCTATTGTAGGAGACTTTTATTTATGTTTTTGAATATTTAATTTTTTTTGTAGATGCTCAAAAGTCTACTGGCGTCTTCCAGTAGAACTTTTGTGAGTTTTCGCCACCTACATTTCGAAGTGAGAACTGTTATATGGATGATGGTTACAAAACTCTAAAAGGGAAATTAGCGATTTTTGGGGGAAAATTGCTCCATGAAGCCAAACTAATCTTTTCCCGGGGAAACTGTTACTTTAATCGTGTAGGAATACGTTTTAGGTATAACTAACTAATCATTTCTATTTTACACTCACATGGAAAGTTTACCTTCTGCGCATCTTTATTTTTAGGAAAATGGCAGGGAAAATGGTTATATGAAAGTGAAATCTGAGTGCATTTACTAAGGAAAGCTTTTATCATGCCGGTGAGATTGGAGAAATGGTTGTCTGGGGCGGTATTATCAACAATCAATACGAAATTAACGATTTTAAATTGGCTAACTACTTGACTAGCCTATTGGTCCCAAGCAAATCAATAAACGTACCCAAGGGGTAAGACAACTGTACTCAGAGTTGATATATTTGCAGTGAGTAAATTTGTGTTACTCATATTTACTCAAAAATAAACAAAGTAGTCTAATATTTTTCATCACAGTCCCGTCTGACAGAATGTTTTGAATTCAAGATTTAATTTTCATTCATTAAAAGATCCAAGTTAGATGGCTCTTGTCCAGGCCAGGCGATGTTTAGGACTCTTTTGCTTTCTAGGGATGGATGGCTAAAGCGAGGGCTGAAGTAATGTCTTTGAAGTTTTTGGTGATGTGGTGGTGTTAGTGTTTCCATTTCCCAGCCATTTATAGTAACCCGGGAATCTTAAAATCGCTGAAGACTCTTCCCGGCAATCGGGAAATATTTTCGGTAGCTATTTATTAAAACTTGAACTTCGTCAGGATTTCCTCCGGAAGATTTTACCGACAATTTCTGGAAGTTTCTTCCAACTTTCCCTTGAAGATTTCAACCAGCTTCTTCAGAAGGATTCTTATGATTTTTCTGGGAGTTTCAATTCTAGATGCTCAACAAATCTCACTCTAGCGAATCAAACTTCGAAAAATATTCTTTCATTTCTCTCATCTACTTGCATCGCGCATCATCTTTTTGCATCTCTTCATAATCGACATCAATCTTCTTTCTATCTACTCCGAGGCGGACGACTCTATCTACAATGCAAAAAAGATTGTGTTTTGCTGTAGCTAGCAACGCGCACACTGAGTTGTGTGATCATTTTTAATATACATGGTTTTTGTACAAAAAAGAACCGCTTCTCGGGAAGTCAAACTAGTTTCCTGGGAATCGGGAAATGATAATTCTGGTAAATTGCCCGGGCAGGAAACACTAAATAGTGTGACTTCAAGACTAAGGAAGTAGGAATTTGGCCAAATGTTTTCAGAAGATTAATTTTAGCTCATGAAAATTAGTATTCAATCTCACAAAATCGGTCAAAAAGGTTTCACATTTTGTTGCATTGCATGCCTGAAATGAGGAAACTCATCATTAATAATTATTATTAATAATTACGGTGTACCGTGATAAGCAACATTTTATTTACCAGCATTCATAAAGGAAGAGGGATTCAAATCTTTGAGAATATTTAGCTGGAAAAAGTCAGAGTTAGTGTCAATTCTCTTCAGAAGCGTTCATTGTTTCCACTGATGCTCCTGCAAGACACGAGATGCATCAATAGACATCAAGCTCCTGCAAAAAGACATCAATGTGTCTATTTGAAGGGCTTGAAGTTGAAAAAGGGTGAACAGGAACGGGTTGAATTTTCATCGTCTGATGTTATTGTGATGATCCATATTTAGCATAAAAGGAGCATTGTTGAATGTGGTCTTTTATTTAACTGTTCATCCCCGGTCAAATCTACGTGATGAACTAGCCTACGGCTAAAAATCACGGTAATAATGAAAAAAAAAATCCCAGGTTAGTTCTGGACAACTTCATAGTTGATTCTATTCTGAAACTTATTTGAAGTTTGTCAATGCGCGATCGTCGAAGGGATTCAAGAACCACATCCCATTGTTTCATACTGGGATTGCCCAGAATCCCCCTTTGGATTGACTGGATTATTTGGAATTCCTCCTGGACGGTCATTAGACTGATGCAAATTTTGACATTTTCGCTCCACAGTGCTCAAACGGTTCCAAATCGGGTCCTGATTAGTCTCCCAAAATTTGAACTCATTTGAAAAGAAACTGACTTCTCACAAACCATTTGAAGTTTATATGGAAATTACTATGGGAAAAACTAATGTTTTGTTCATATCCATCTAACAATTTACCATATAGTTCTGCTTTAAAAAATGATAACTGAGCTCGTAGAAAATTTTCTCAGCTACAACTTAGTCCTGAACCACTTTTCAATATAATGTTAGCATCAAAAGTTATCAATAATTCAAGCCACTAATGTCTTACGATTATGCTCAATCAACTGTTCAGCAGGCAACATTGGTGTTTCTGGCGCTTGGAATAGAGCACAAAAATCATGGCTACTATGTCACACTGCAAGATACAGTGTTGCTCACAAAACAGCTGCTCGATCATGCCATAAGATTATCCATCTCTTAAACAATTAATAACTATTTTATTTGACGTTTGGCTCAACAACTACATTCTGCTAAGTTGAAGCTGAGAAAATTTTCCATAAATATTGCTTTTGAATTTTTGAACAGTGCCATATGGAAAAAGGTAAGAAGACAATGAACAAAAAGTTTGGATTTCCCATAGTAATTTCCATATAAACTTCAAATGGTTTGTGCCAAGTCAGTTTCTTTTCAAATGAGTTCAAATTTTGAGAGACTAATCAGGACCCGATTTGGAACCGTTTGAGCACTGTGGAGCGAAAATGTCAAAATTTGCATCAGTCTAACGGTCATGAATCCCCCTCAGTATTGAGTGAAATCCTTCCTGTGATTGTGTGGAATCTCCGCTGGGATAGTCCATATTCCTTCTTTGGATATTCCGAAGTCCCCTTTGATATTGTTTGGGGGGCCGAACTGGGATTGTCTAAAATTCTCCTTAGTATTATCTGAAATTCTCCTTAAGAATCTCTACTGAGACTGTCGTAGATCCCCTTTGCGATTAACTGAAACCCTTCTAGAGATTGTACAGAATCATCCTAGGGGCATCCCACTCTAAACTTTGTATTTCTCGCATTATACTCAGAAAGTTCTTACTGATATCTAAGATACCTGCAAATACTTAAAAATACTTAAGAAATATTTAGCGCTAGTTTGTTACCTCCGTTGCTAGACAGATTTTTTTTTTTCGATTGTTTACCCGGTGTCATCCGGGAATTTGTGTGTACGTATTTAGAAAAATCAACTTTTATTCTTTAATTTATTCCTTTTTTGTAGGAATTGAGGAAGAGTCCATTTTGATTTTAGGAATATTACATTGCCAAACCGATTCAACTGTCATTCAAAGGAAGAATAATGAACTATTTGGAAAGTTACTGTGGAAGAAACTGCGTGTGGAAGCTAATTCCCTGAGCAAATGTTCGTATCCCAAAACAATGTCTCCATAAAGATGGATTTTTCGTCCATTAGGTTATTGACCGTTGGACGATAACTTCAGGCCTTTACGCTGATTGAAGTGTGAAAGCTTTCTGCACCATCCGCAAAGCCACATCTCCTAGATTGCCGTCGAATGAGAAGATAATCACATTTCCTCGGTTTTGGAACTATTTAGCAGAAAACATCAAATCAAACCATGATTACAGCGTTAACAAGTCAATTATGCGTTTGGTACGATACTTCTGTTCCAAATCTACTGAACGAAGTCAATAAGAAAATGTGATATGAATGTTTGCACCCATTATTCTCAAAAAACAAAAGAGTGAATAACAATTGCGTTTGAATGGCGTTTCAATGCGTTAGGCCGAGTTTAGGGTCAAGAAGTAGTGTTAGATTTTTAACAATATCTCAACAATGTGTTACTCTTTATCAAATCTTACGATACGTACGGAAAGTTCAATAAAATTGGAAGGCATTTGCATTGAGAACATTCCATTTTGAAAAAATCGTTCTAAAAATAGAGGTAAAGGACGGGTTGTGCTTACTAGGCCCAAAATAAGATCTAAGCCGTATTAAGGCTGAACATAATAAAACCAACATATTCACTCCGTGTTAATCTCGGAACCGTTCTCTAATTGATTCTATCATTCATCAGAAACGGCTATGTGTAAAACTTTAATTTGGACTGTTTGGGGAATGGTTTGAAATAAATTCATACATTTTAACTTAGGATTATTTTACATGAAATTGGTATAAATAAGTAACGTTTTGGAACAAAATCTTTTTATTTGGAATATCAATGGTTTGATATAAATTATAATTTCAGAACAGATTAATATTTTTCTTATCCTTACTTACTGGAAAAAGTGAGAAATTCATGTTGATTTCACATAAAGCCTTCGGTTGCTATCAGGATACTCACTCAACTCCCTCACCAGTCCGTCATAACTCATATTTACCAATGTAAATTTATCAAAACGCGGTACGATACGACCACCAGTGGCAATTGTAATTAGTTCAACTTCGAGCCCACCAGCACAACGTATTTTTGGTAGTTATGCTTCATTGTCCTCTGGCAAATAACCAGCGTAATCCTAGCATCCTTGGCCTGCTTAAAGTCAAGAATTCCATAATCATGCAGCTTGCGATAATTCTTAGCCGAATTGACATTCAACATACGCTTTTATTTTGGCAGTTCAGTTTGAAATCTAGTTAAATAATTGAACAGTTTGATATCGTACTAAACAGCCAGTTCGAAATCATAAATAATTCGCTATCCCTGCTCCAACTTGTTCGCTGAAAGTAAAATGTTTTTGTTGAACTATTTCATAACTAGAATTAAAATACTTACTTATAAACATGATCACACTTCTTCATTTAATTTAAAACATATTGAAACTAGTATTTATATGCTTTAATACGTGATTCAAAGTAATACATTGACGGGATATACAACAGTAAACAACTACATTAGTAACCGGTCACTACGATTAAAAAATCCAAATCTTAAAATACTTAAACATACTTAAGAATACTTATCAGATACTTCGAAATACTAAATTGATACTAGAGCTATAGTTTAGAGTGGGATGCCCCTTGGAATCATCCCTGTATTAGAACGTCATCGGCATGGCAGTAAGGCAAGACAGCTCTGACTGTTCCGTAAGGTCACTATAAAAATCTTAAAATGTTGTTGATTTGCTTTGCTTGACAGTATCGGTTGCTATGTGCATCAGTATCAAGTTGAGCAACGCGAGTTACTCAGAGTTACTCAAAATTAACTCCGATTTTACTCATGATCAAAAGCTGTCTTGCCCCAAGAACGTACCTTATTATCATAGAGGTAACTCTAAGACCAGAAGGTCCCGAAGAAACGAGCTCAACTTTTTGGCTCAGCTCTGGTACTATCTTCGGTCCCAAGCTAATCGATTCACCCCTCGAAAATCCACTAACCCCTCATTTTATCTGTCAAACTTTCATAGCGAATCAAAAAAAACATAGTGTAGTACTGGAATTTGTACTAGAATGGGGCACGTTAATCAATTTGCTTGGGACCAATAGGCTAGTCAAGTAGTGAGCCAATTTAAAATCGTTAGTTTCGTATTGATTGTTGTTATTATAGCCAAAATTCTAGTACTACTCAATGTTTGTTTTGATTCGCTATGAAAGTTTGACAGATAAAATTAGGGGTTCGTGGATTTTCCTATGTTTCGAGGGGTGCATCGATTAGCTTGGGACCAGGGCCTGGACCAGGGTTTACATTGTCAAAATTGTTAGTTGGGTGGTTTCTAGCAACAGTTCTAATGTAATCAAGATAGGTACACGGATAGAAATCACCTTATACCTTTTGGCAAATTACTATTGCTGATTATTCATAAAATGAAACGTGAAACGCATGAATAAAATAATTAATTTTCGTTTCGTGTACTGCTCGATTGGCTCTGGCTGTGACAGTTCGTTTGGGTCAAAACCAGCCAGTCCACTCCTCTCTTATGGACCCTCTCTAGTTGAACCGGAATGATGACTTGGATGGATCGATCCTCTAAGAACGACTGGATGATCTTAGTTAGATCTAAGAGAAGAGGTGACAATACGGGGGCGAAAATGAACCACTTTTCTGTCAAACGTGAACCAGCTCCTGATTGGCGTAAGATAGAGATGGAGATAGATAAAGATAGAGATAGAGATAGAAATAAAAGAGGAAGAAGCCAATTGTCACCTCTTCCTCTTAGAGTTGGATAAAGTATGCACACCAGAGTAGGTACACACTTAGATTAGATTAGAGCACAAATATCACTTCTCACGAAACATTCAACAAGGAAACTGGAACTTAACGTTTGCTGCACTGCAGGGAAATCCAATTTCATGAGCAGTGTCACAACATTGTCTGAGATTTGAGCTCTAGAAAACTTGAAGTGATAGCCCTAATAAAAAAAATGCTAAATGATCGATTATTCAAATAATATTGCAAAATGTTTCTTAACATAGATTTTCGCTTTCAATTTCGCACTCACCACTCCCACCTTGGATCATGTATAACGCTTGGTTTCCATTACATTTTGTCTGATGTTTACTTTTGACTCGTTTGCTCCAAACCAGCTGGTTAATCCTCTTCCATATGTGACATGTGACTTCTTTGTTCTCGAGGTCACAGCTGGTCATGTTTACATAACAAATCCAGCTGGTGAACCTGTTTGCGCGCGAAAACGACAAGGAATAGCTGAAATGGTAAGATGGTAATGGTAATGGTAATGGTAATGGTAACGGTAATGGTAATGGTAATGCTAAAACCACTGAAAAATTTGGAAGCTTCCACATTTCTTCGAGAAAGTCTAAATATTCATAAAAACCACAATAGAACTAATCCACAAATGGTTTGGATGATACCCCAAACAATAATGGAAAAAAATTGTTCCATGTTGCATTTACCTCGGCATTTACTACTCACTCACACGCATACAACATCAGAAACGAACACCAGCTTGTGCAAGCTGCACTGATTTCGTTCGTATTCGCATTGCTTCTATTTTCTTCGATGAACGAAATATGATTTGAGTAGTAGCTATACTGAAGATCCGAAAGATGTCGCCCTTCAGTGGTAGGAAAATCATTTTTGCAGTATGGAGAATATCAGTAAATCCACGATTTGAGGCTAAACATGCTTTCACAGAAGGAAACAAATAAACGAGTGTTTACCTTATCACCCTGAGTTACCTCTATGCTAATACTACCATCAGATAGGGGAAATTCTCCCCTACCTGCTAGTGGTGTTAGTAAGCGTGTGCGAGCTACCAGCTACGCCCAATCGACGATGAAATGCATTGTTTACAAAAGCTGATACGTCCCTTTGAAAAAGTTATCGAGTATTGACGAAAATTCAAATGTACACCAAAAATCTGAATCGAGTTCCAGCAAAATTAATTGCTGGACTGCTCCCAGCAAAAACATTTCTTGCTGAACAACCAGTAATCCATAAAAATGCTGGATTTTACAGTAAACTGTTTGAAACGTCAAAGTCGACCGGGGTCATCGTTCACTTCTCTGCAGTTCATTTTTTTTTTTTCGAGTCAAGAAGTGTACGACTTTTGAATCATCCTATGAATTACATGAATGGTATTTTTATCATGGTGTAAGTATTTTTAACTTTAAGTCTTGCTGACTAAGTTTAAAAGGTTATTTTCTCTTTATTTATAGCCTTTTCATATGAATAAAACTATAGAATGGCCACTGGAATGTGCTCAAAATAAGTCGTTTTTTTTATCGTTTGTTCAAAAATTGTCTCTTCATATGAGAATAATAAAGTTTTGTAAGATTCTAATACAGTAAACCAGTGTAATAAAGTGTTTTTCAGTTAAAATTCTATCAAGAATGTTATAAACAATTTAAACGATTGAGAATTACTGCTCTTCCAGCAAAATGATTGGCATTACGCAATGCTGGATAATCCGTATACATCACTGGTTTTACAGCAAAGTGCTGTCAGTTTGACTTTGGGCCTAATTGGGTTCTTTAATTTTGAAAAATATATCGGTTTTTATATATCTGAAAGAGCTTCGTTTTCTGAGCACAGCGATATTTTTTTCAACCTACACACTTTCATCTCGATTTTTAAATCAAGATTTAAAGCAAAATAATAACTTCACTGTTTGACACTAAACTGACAAACTGACAGCTCACTCCCATACAAAGTGACACCGAGGGGCGCTAATAAGGCGATTTTTGCAAATGTAATCGTACTTATTTAAAATAGTTCCAGTGTACCAAAATTGATGAAATTTTGGGTTTGGGTTCCATTTTTAATGCAGATTACGAATATGCATTAACCTCAATACCCTTAAAGAACCCAATTGCTGGTGGTTCATCAAATAGTATTTTGCTGGATGGATTGCTGAACTTCCAGCTCGGCAAAATCCAGCAAAATATTGCTGAATTCCAGCAATAAAAAATGAGTGTGTGATTATGGGCAGTGCAGTGATTAAATTCAAATCGAAACGGCAGCACTGCAATGGCACAGCTCTGTAATTCCAAATCTCCATCGACCAGCAACACCAACACGTCAAAAGTATCGATTATGCATTTTCCGATCGCAAAGCACTACGTGTCTCGCGTTTGTCTCATTCGTGTCCTCGACGGAGTGTGTAATTTTGCGGCATTTTTAGCTTTAATTCGACGTTAAAATCTCCAAAACAGCAGCAAGATGACCAACATCAAGACGGTTCTGGCCAAATTCTACGACGAGTACACCACCTGCACTCCGAAGAAGCTGAAAATCGTCGATTCCTATCTGCTGTTCATTCTGCTGACCGGCATCACCCAGTTTGTTTACTGCTGCCTGGTCGGAACATTCCCGTTCAACTCGTTCCTGGCCGGATTCATCAGTACCGTGAGCTGTTTCGTCCTGGGAGGTGAGTTCGGTTGTTTCATTAATTACTTTACTTCTAGCACGTAAAGTTGTCGGAATAGATCCATCAAATTCCCCCGATGCATTTGACCGCTTCGAATCCGGATGTTCAAAAATAAGCTTCATTTCGGTTTTGATTTCAGTCTGTCTCCGCCTGCAGTCGAATCCTCAGAACAAATCGCAATTCCTGGGAATCTCACCGGAGCGGGGTTTCGCCGATTTCGTCTTTGCCCACATTATTCTGCACCTGGTGGTGGTCAACTTTATCGGTTGAGAAGCCATCGTGGAGGAACGTAAGTGTGTGAGTCCGAATGCATTTCCTTCTACCAATAATCTACCTAATTTAGTTCGCCTATAAAATTACTGTCTCCCGCTCCGGGGAGCATTGAATATGATTGTGTGAATCAGATTGATCCCAAAAACACTGATATGAAGGTACTAATAGAAAGTTTCCTCAATTGAAGGGAAGAAAGTTTGCGGGAGATTGTTGGTTGTAGAAAAAAAAAAAGCAAATCCGAAAGCCTTGAATGGTTTAAATGCTTTTAAAACAGTTGATTACTACGCGGAGACCGATTAGGATAAATAGCGTTTGGAAAAGAAAGAAATTAATTAGAAATAAATGTCTGATAGTTTTGTAAAAGTTTGGCACTGAAGCTACCTTAGAATTCTATCCAAAACAATTATTATATATACCGTGGGCCCGTTTTTAATCTGAACACTTTTTAATGTTAACCCTGCTAATCTGCATTTCAAGCTTATTGCTTATCGCATATTAGCTTATTGCAGGGAATTGCCCAGGGAAGTCGAGAAATGTTCCAACCCGCAAAATTCCTAGATCGGAAATCGAAAACCCAGCCAACTCCAGCATGGTCTTGCTTTGTAGCTGTGCCTTTACCGACTGAGCTACGCTGCCCATAATCGCATATCAGTCCCATCTTTGCTTGATTTCCTATCCATATGGGACTGATATGCGATTATGGGTAGTACGGCAGGTTCCAAACTAAACATTACTCAAAAACAAAACAACAAATAAGGCTACCAGAAACATACATTTTTGTTGCTCATAGATTTAGTAGATTTTAATAAGAATTTCCTTGTCATTTGGATTGTCCTCAGAGTTTCTTTGGAATACTTCGAGAATCAGGAAATACTTTTATATAACATGAGGCAAATTTACTCATCGCTGAGTTCCTGCACTTTGTGACTTATGAGTAAGCTAAACTTATAGCGAATTCGTTTATTATTCAGTTCCAACCGAGGGGGACGAAAGTCCCAGATTTGTTCAAATTTTATCCAAAAATACCTTTTAATTTGATGAATTGATTTAAATCCATGCAAATTTATTTTATCCGAAATAATCGCGTTCAAATCTTTAAAATGAATAATATCGTCTTTTTATCGCTCACATCTCTAATATATCGGGTCACATCTCTATCTATCACATGACAGATTATTTATCATTACACAAGGCCGTTCGCAATGCTGAGTTTCAAAATTGTTTTAAACTACTCGTCAATTCTATAATTTGAAACTGTCAAAAATAAAACTGCAACACGATCAGCGCAACGCACAGTTCTAAAACATGTTTGTAATCATCAAGTTCCATAAACTTTACTGTTCTCTATGAAGTTCTCCGTTTTTTTTTGTGGAGCTCTTCGAAACATCTTCAACACATCCAAAGAAATTTGAAACAGAGTTCCATTCGTGTTTCAAACTCGCTCAGAAATAAAACAGAATAGTCGAGCAGTTGCAAATCTGGTGCAAAATAGTGCTCGAATAATGAAACTGCAACTCAGCATTGCGAGAGGTGTGTTTCTGTTCTAGTTTCAAATTGAAACAGTCCTTATAAAATACAACAGCATTGCGAACGGCCTAACAACTCTCTGCTGCTTTTTCATAAGGGCCAATATCGAAAACGTAAACAATGACTTCTTCCGCGAATTTCTCGAAGATGAAAACTCGCTCAAGTAAAATACACCATGACCGTTTAGAGGGAGAGTCCCCCCATTCAATAGAATTAGTGGCTTGCATGGATAGACTTTGAATTAGGTAAATTTAAGAAAGAAGCCATTGTTTACGTTTACAACATTGGCCCTTATAAACGCTCAATTTCGAGATGTTGAGGTGGATTTCTTCAGAGTTCGATGAGGAATGTGGGTGCTTCGAGTTCACGAATCTCAACCTGGATAACGGGTTCTGTCCAAATAGCTGCAACCGACGTATGACCGAGCAGCACCAGGTTTGCTTGCCTGAGAATCATGAAATAATTGAGCATCTTCCGGGTGAGAGGCTGAGGTGGTTGTAAAACCCTCGGCGAGACCAAACGGGTTTGGGTTGACGGCTGGATTTCGGGAGTACTCGGTGAGGGGTTGTCTCGATCTTGCGAGGGAGGTTGTTGGTTAGGAGCGGTATAGGCGGAGTGCCGGAGTTAAGCTTCTTCTACTGCTGCTGATGGGTTGCGAATCGGGGACTGGTTAGGGGATTTGCGAGGCGTTGTCGCTGATATTTAGGTAGATTAGCGCGATCGGAATCTATGGGTCAGAGAATGGGACGGAGGTCATGGACCAGAGACGGAGGACGGAGGGGATGAGTATTTAAGCCAGATACCCTTTGGAGTGCAGATTGACTAACTTCGGCGATACCGTTCCCTGGCAAATAAGCGTAGTGTTCACTTGGCGTGTAACGAGTACCGTAATCTAAACTCTTCGCTCTACAAATCGTACGTTTTACGAGTGCAAACTAATTTAAGGCGAAACCCCAAGAGCTTTTGGAGCTATGTAAACTCGAAGAGGAAAAATTCAACAATGCCTGCAAGCATTTTTTTCAATGACGTTGAATCGTCGATAGGCGGGGAGAAATGTGAGCTTTTTGCTGCTCATTTTTCGTCGGTTTTTGCCGCAGAATCCATCACCTCGACTGAACTTGTCTCGGCTGTTTCGGATGTGCCTTCAAACCTTGTTGACATAAACACTTTTGAAATAACGCCCGTTATGGTAACTAATGCCGCCAAGAAAATGAAATGTACCTTCTCGCCTGGACCAGATGGCATTCCTTCTGCAGTGTATTGTCGTACCATTGGAGCGCTTGTTGAACCGCTTTGCAGAATCTTCAACAAATCTTTTGTAGAGTCGAAATTTCCTGCAATCTAGAAAGAGTCATTTATGGTTCCGGTACACAAGAAAGGAGATAAACGTGACGTTAAAAACTACAGAGGAATTACTAATCTCTCTGCAGCATCAAAACTGTTTGAGATAATTGTGAGTGGTTTCATTCTTGAGCACACCAAATGCTATATCTCTAGTGACCAGCATGGCTTCATGCCTGGACGATCGGTTACCACAAATCTTCTAGATTTTACCACGACATGTTTTGAGCAACTGGAAAATGGGGCACAAATAGACGTCATCTACACTGATCTAAAAGCAGCGTTTGATACGATCAACCATGACATTATGTTGGCAAAGCTATCCAAACTCGGTGCGTCGGACCGTTTGACTTCGTGGTTGTGCTCCTACTTGACTGACAGGTCTCTGCGAGTGAAACTCGATTCCAGTACTTCCTCGTATTTCACGAACTCGTCAGGTGTACCACAGGGTAGCAATCTTGGCCCGTTGCTGTTTGTGTTGTACATCAACGACGCACTTCTTCTACTTGGAGATGGCTGTAAGCTTGCGTATGCCGATGACCTAAAGCTGTACTTCGTGGTGCGGACTGCTGAGGATTGCATTCGTCTTCAATCGGTATTGGATCTGTTCGTTGATTGGTGTCGTCGGAATAAGCTTACCCTCAGCATTCCTAAATGTATGGTAATGTCGTATTACCGCATCAGGCAGCCGATTGTTTTTGACTATGCCATCAACGGTGTGGTTCTTCAAAGAACCGACCAGTTCAGCGATCTTGGTGTTCTACTGGACCATAAGTTGACGTTCAACCTCCACCGCTCTGCTCTGATCACAAAGGCGAATCGCCAGCTAGGTTTTGTGTCGAAAATATCGAAGGACTTCATTGACCCACACTGCCTGAAAGCTCTCTATTGCTCACTTGTGCGACCAATCCTGGAAAATGCCTCCTTGGTCTGGTTTCCTCATCAGTTGACTTGGAGCTTGAGGATCGAAAGTGTTCAGCGCAAGTTTATCAGGATAGCATTACGTAGTCTACCATGGCGTGATCCGCAAAATCTCCCGCCGTATTCTGATCGCTGCAATCTGTTGAGCTTGGATACTCTGGAATGCCGACGGAAAAATCAGCAAGCAGTTTTTGTTGCCAAGCTATTGAATGGTGAGGTTGACACTCGAGGCACAGACAAACAGACATAACACATTGAATATTTCTCACTGTAAAACATCGTCGCTAAAACATTACCACCATCTGTTGAATACACTGTGGTGGGTAGTACGCTGAACAGATGGCGGTAGTGTGTAAACGTCAAACGCAAGGGAATTGACTATGCGCGCCACAGGTGGCGGTACTACCAACTACGTTACTTTTAAATTGACCGTTAAATGCTTGTTCGATGAACAACTTTCGAGTGTTATGTCTGTTTGTCTGTGCTCAAGGCTTCTCTCGCTGTTAGATATCCGAGTACCACCGAGAACATTACGAAGTGGTACCCTTCTCCAACCGCGGTACCATCGAACGGCGTTCGGTTACAACGAACCACTAACAACTATGATGCGTACGTTTACGGCTGTCGAAGAATTATTCGAATTTGGGGAATCTTCATCTCGCTTTTTGGCACGGATTAGAAACACTTGAATTGTTTTAGCTTTAAGGTTGTTTCATGTAGACAATAGTCCGATGAATAAAATTAAATAATAATAATAATAATAATAATAATAACTTGACCCCGGGGGTGGATGCTAGTCCTGTCCTCGATGAGTTCTTTCAGACGTTGGAATTCAATTTGGTGACCTGAGAAGCGCATTTGATGGATCCTTTTCCGGTCATGTTTCCAGCATCCGATCGTCTGCCACTATTTGGGGTCCAAGACTGCATCAACTAAACGGAACTGCTTTGCTGAACGGAAGATTGGCAGGTAAGGGTAGTATTTGTTGTTACTCCGGGGAAGAGTGTAGTGGCCTAAAAGAATTTGCCGCTCGATTTGAGATTTTTTCAGTGAACATAAACACACTGAAACATATTAGAGTAAACAGATAGATAATTCTAACTCATCCAAGATTATCGAAGAATAGTTCCATTTTTTTTTAGTTAAATCTGTTAAATGAAATGTAAAATGGATTACTTTCGTCCCCCTCGGTACCAACCTGGATCGGGTATCAAGATTGGGTCTGATTGTTTTCTGACAGACGTCAGTTTGATCATTTGTTTTTAAAACCCAGCTCAGGTTGAGGTTCGCACTGACGAAAAGTTCGGTTTCGCACTGGGTTGGAACTGGTTCCAACCCCGATAATAAACGAATTCGCTATTAGTCTTAGGCTGTTAGCAAGGTGAACTACATGTAGGTGTTCTAATATGTCAAATTCATGATTCAGCCATGTTGGATTTTTGTATGGGACAGCGACCGAGTTTGTTTACAATTTGCTCTAAAACCGCACTTTTCCCCCCGCGACCTCCTCGCCTATATAGTGACAAAGCTGTATCACCATTTATATACCCACCATGGCTGTGAGCCATTTGGCGGATTTTTTCAACCTTTGGTTAAAATTTGACAGATGGAAAGTTATCGATTAACCCTGCTATTTCTGCGTGGTTGTTTCTGACAGACAAGAAGCTAAATTTTGACAACCGTGGCTGAGTTCTGCTCGAAATCCGATCGATCGGTAGCACAGGCATTTTCGAACATGTAAAATAACTTTCGGAATGTCACTTTTAACCACGAGTTAAATTTAACTCGACAAATGGTTCACAGCCTTAGTGAAAAGCACAGCAGCTAAAGGCCTGTATAGAGATCGAAGCGAAGTGAAATTCCCATATAAAATACTCGAATGTAATTGACCACTTTGTCAAGCAGTTTTGGCGTGACTTTCTACCAGTGATTTCATAAAACTGGACCAACTAATTTCTAATTTTGACGTAGGACTACGTCTTTGATTTCTATATGGGGGTACACTTTGTGAAAACCGAAAATGGAATATGTAACAAATTAAGAAAGATTTTGAATTTTAATAACTCAGCTGCCCCTGGTCCAATTTCAATATTTTTATCACCAATCGATCAGAAATATGGCTACGCATTGATAACAATGCTTTTGAATGTTGATTTTTTTTAACAAGAAACTGTTGAAAAACTGGTAAATGTCCAGCATTGTCCTAAAACGTCGAATTAACTAACAAATCCACCAATTACCTACATGCATATGCTGCTTCCCCAGCACAGTCGTCAGAGAGTAGTAAGTAGACGAAACAAGTCGAAGTGGCATTCGCCTCCGATCCTCGGGCGCGTGCGAATAGGGAGGATGGAATTGCGTAATATTTTGCATACTCATCGCCATACTCAGAACCACACGCTCCCAAATTAGTCGAAATTAGTAGCAGCAGTAGCAGTGCTTTCGGCGTGTGGCGTTGAAAATTGTTCTCCAGTAACAATGAAAGGCTGCCTGCAAGCAGCGAGCTGCAGAGCCCACATAAGCAACCATCAAAGGAGGAAGAAACTGCACCGCTATGCTATGGATCGGAATCTGTAGCTCTTCGTGAGTCGCTGCGGGTTGGTCATATATGCCAAGCGTGTCACTCTCGCTCCAAACGACATACAACTCGACAGCCTCATCTGTGTTGAACATAAAACTCAGAATTACTCAACCATCACTACAAAACGGTCCTTTTCAGGACCCCCTTAAATTTGTTAAGAGTATTATTTGGACATTTGACAAGGTCATCAGTTCCCGCAAGCAGCTAGCTATCAAGGCTCAACCTGGTCTCTATAAAAGGTGTGAAATTGTAGGCCCGAATGAATTGGTGAGATTAATCAACGTCCGACCATTTTCCAGAACACGTTGGTAGGAAGTGTTAAAAATCCATATAGAATTTGAGAGAAGTGGGAATAATTCGTTTTGGGTGTATATTCAGTCCCCAGAAAGCCAATAAAATCAACTTTGAGAGAAAATTAGCTCTCAAGAGTTCAATCTCTCGAAGTCCCTCTTTTTTTTTACATATTATGCACAAACGATACTTTCATATAATTCGGAAGGAAATCATGTAAGGGGTGAATTGAATACATTTTAATACCGAAATGCACAAAACTTTCAAAATACACCTTTTAAAGTCGGGTAGATGAATCGAAAATACTCAAGTTGACAGCTCCTTGGATTCTCTTCATCAACTTTCTCTTTGAAATAAATACTACAAATTTGATACGCTTACAAATTAAAAACGGAAAGAGTTAAGATAATTGATGATTGATCAATTAAAAGAACTAAATGTTCACATTTGTTCCGTCCAGTAGCGGTCCTACGTCAAGCTTCCGTTCGTGCCCCTAGGCACAAACCGAGGGGGACGACTCTATCTACGATGCAAAAAAGATTGTGTTTTGCTGTGGCTAGCTGCGCGCACACTGAGTAGATAGAAAGAAGATTGATGACGATTCTGAAGATTTCCTTTAAAAAATTGATGAGCGATGCAAGTAGATGCGACAAATGAAAGAAGATTGTTCGAAGATTGATTCGCTAGTGTGAGATTTGTTGACCATCTAAACTTGAGATTTAGATGTGTCGCCCCCCTCGGCACAAACCCTTCTACTTTTTTATGAAACGCACAAAAATAATGTTTAATTTCAAAGTTCGAGTGGTAGTAAACGTCATTGTAACTGCTCGAATGAAGTGGTTAATTAACCATTTTATTCGAGCACTTAAAATGACGTTTACTACCACTCGAACTTTGAAATAAAACATTATTTTGAGATTTTTTCTTCTAGAACCTCGAGAAAAGTAGCCAACATTTGTGCGTTTCATAAAAAAATATAAATTATTTGGTCCAGTTTTGTGAAATCGCTGGTAGAAAGTCATGCCAAAACTGCTTGACAAAGTGGTCAATTGACAAAATTTTCACTTCGCTTGGAACTGTAAACAGATACGGTCCAGTGAAATCAACTTTTGTGGATCACATCTTTTTCGCGTACGTTTAGTTTTTTCACGCATGCAGCTGATTGTGAAAAAACAGCAGCTAAGCGAAAAGTTGACGTTTCGAGAAAGAGTGTATCTGTCAGAATTTCACTTCACCGTAAAGGCCTGTATAGAGATCGAAGCGAAGCGAAAATCTCATACAAATTACTACATTTTTCACCAGCGTGAAAAACGCAATTGGCAAATTTTTCACTTCGCTTTGAACTGTAAACAGATACGATCCAGTGAAATGTAATGTTGTAGATCGCATCTTTTTCGCTAACGTTTATTTTTTTTCGCGCATGCAGCGCTCGCGAAAAGAGCAGCAGGTAAGTTGACGTTTCGAGAAAGAGCGTATCTGTCAGATTTTCACTTCACCGGAGGTGTAAACTGACCGATTTCGTTTCACACTGCGAAAAAAGGAAACTGGAAAATGTTCCACAAACATTTTTTCACAACCTTTTTCGCTAGCGAAATTTTATGATTTTTCGCGTGCTTCAATTTTCGTTTCGCTTCAATCTGTATACTAAGCTTAAACTGATCAATTTCGTTTCACGTGAACTGTGAACTGTGAACAAGAGGAAATTGGAATATGTTCCACAGCAATTTTTCCACAACCTCTTTTGCCAGAGAAATTTCATGCTTCTTCACCTTATTCAAATATACTTCTCATTGTATACTAGGCTAAGACATCGGCAAAAATGTTAAAATAATCAAAATAGTAAATTCCGATTAATACCGAACCTTTGATACCGATAAGCATGAAAACAATCTGGCAACTCTGTATCGAACAGCTTTCTCAAACACGCCACGTGGGCTCAATTGAAATGTCAAACGCGTTCGTCGGATTGTAAACAAAAATGCACTTTTTGGTGCATTCATTCGTGACTCGCTCTGCACGCTTGTTTTTTCTTCTCAACTCACGGCGTATATCAGTCGGGCAGCATGTTGTGCAACAATCACGTTCTCTGCTGGTGAAAGTATTCTAAATATTCTTCAGTGATCCCCCCCCAGTGCGCATCAAGTTCAAAATGTACAAATTGATCAAGTCTGTGATTAGAGTGGACCTGCGGTCCCCGGGCCTGCCGGTACCGGCATTGTATTCCACCTTCAGACCCGCCGAATTCCACTTCGAAACGTCAGACGGCGAAAGCGGCACATTGATTCATCGTTTCTCGAGGCACATCGCCCTCACCAAGCGGGACTACACCGATACGACGAGATTTAACTTTAAATATTCATCATTCTACCCGGTTTACCGGCCGGACCAGTTCATGGAGCAGTTGGCGAGCATATCGACCCACGATCTGGGAAAGTTGATCTGTATGACCACTGACTTCCGGGGGAAGACCGATACTAGAATGTATACCGATGTGGTCAATGTGCTGGATGAGGAAAGTGAGAGCCGGGTGGAACGGACCGAGTTCCGGGAGTTGGTTGGTATGATGCACGGGTATATGTATTTGCTGCCGAACAAGATAACAAAACTAAAGACGTACCAGAAGGCGATGCCACGGTTGGTGGAAGCGTTCGGAAGGAATGTGAACAGAAAGGATTTCATGACGCTAGTGTTCTTTTTGGGACTGTGGAAGAAGAATGCTGCTGGAAGCCGACTGATCGAACAGTTTTTGCAGGATTATCTTGGTCAGTTTTTGAATGATGAAATGGATTTGATGGATTTCGTCATCGTGGCTAATGCCAGCTATAAAACCAGTGTGCGGATCAAGGATGGACAGTTTCGGGATCGTTTGGTGGAGGAAATTTGTAAGCTTGAGGACAATGACATGGCACTGTTTGTAACGCTTATTAAATGTGCTCGAATGAATCGGATACGATCGGATCGGATTGTGGAGAAGTTGAAAAGCATTATGCAGGACAAACCGGAGTCGGTGGATTTCCGAGGTCTGTCCCATTTGTTCGCATACGTCGCTGATAATCTGATAAAAGATGATACTCTAACCAATATCTTCCTGGGAGAAGGCAGCAAGCACATAGAAGCTGAAATCCTCGCCCAACCAGAGGAAAGCGATTCTGCTCCGCAAAACTTCCGAGCCAAAGATTTTGCTACCTTCCTTTGGAGTTGTTCAACGCTATCGATTTCGCTGGAGGAGCTCGACTTGGAGGCAAAAGATCTGAAGGACTTGGTTTTCCGAAAGATCGACAACAACGAGTATCGCTTCATTCCGGACACCCTGGTGGACACGTGTCTCTCGCTGTGGTTAATGGGCTACCCGTCGGTCGATATGATGGCCAGTATCTTCAGCGACAGCCAGTTTGCGAAAAATTTCAAGAAGGATCGGGTGAAGATCGAATCCAGACGCGACTTGCTGCTGGCTTGCGCCGAGATTGAAAGACCGGAAGCGTTCAAAATTATCTCCAAGCTACCACGGGTCCGGGCGTACCAGCTGGAGAGACCGGCTCCGGATTACTCGGTTAAGAACCGCAGGGATCTTCAACGAGTCCGGGCCTGCCTTGAGAATGTGAAGGATAAGCTTTCGATCAGCGGAGTGGAATTCAACATGCCCATTAGGTTCTTGAACATTGCAGGGCTGCTCGTGAAGATGGACAACGAAGAAGTGATCAACTTGGATGTGCTGGACAGAGCTTACTGTCTGTCGGATGAAGAGACACCGACAGGATTGTTACTGTTGAAGCAACGGCTTTTGAACAAAATGGGAGTCGAAACGGTTCTGGTGAGTGTTACTTTGATCTCAGTTGGAAATCTCAAAGACTAACCAAATTTGCACATTCTTACAGGTCAAACCGCTTCGGATAGAATCCGACGAAGCTTTGGCTCAAACCTTGGAAGACATCATTCGGAGTACGATGAAACCAAAACTCAGCAGAGAAACCAGCAAAGCGGTTTAGCTAAAACACAAATCTATTAGTCAATAAAATATCAAATGATAATTCAAAATGGTTAAAATTCGTTCAATTCCATCCGAACAACGTCCTAGTCGTTTCTAAAGCATGCCTTTCGAGTCCAGCTGCCGGATGCATCGGTCCATCACCTGGTGGATGGCATCCGTCGTCTGTGCGGAACTGTACGGCTTGCCGATGTCCGGCACGTGAATAAACAGCGACCGGTCCCGATCGACGTCCAACGATTTGAGGTAAATATATCCGCACAGGTAGCTGCCTACTTCCTGCGAGCAGCAGCACTTGACCGCATCCAATTCACCGGCAATTGCGTGCACGTCGAGATTTGTCTCCAGCAATTCGCATTTGCCCTCACCGGTAGCGCTTTTCAGCGTTATCTTATCGGAGGGTAAACACTTGTTCGCAAAGTCCGGTCGACAGTAGCCCGACGAGTCGGAACACTTTTCCAGATTAATCGTCTCGATACGACCGTGCACACCGACGTGGATGACCAGCTGTGAAACACAAATAGAATCAAGTAAAATTCCGACTGCAAAACACTCCGGCAAACACTTACCGCCGGATTTTCGCTCCAAATCTTCGGCACCATGGCATCGACCGCTTCGTATGTAACAGGTATTTCCATCTTTTTCACTTGATACTGAACACTTTTATATTGGTACGAGTCGGGAAGCAGCTTCACGGCCTCCCAGCTAGCGTTGCGTTCTTCGTGGCCAGCGAATGGGCCGAACCCGGTCACTATGATGATACGGGACTTGCCAACCATATCTAACTAGGATCGTTGGGACCGGAGCTCTCGCTGTTTCGGGCTGTGCCTAGATCCACCCACGTATTATTAGGTACTGCTCGCTCGTACCTACCGGATTCACAGCTTGCGAGGAATGATATCATTTCTCTTTCTTTATATTCATCTGCTAGCTTGTTTTGTCGCATCGCTTGCATAGTTGTATGCTGGTACAATCGTCAGTTTCGTATTTTTTTGGTACTTCGTATCAAGTATGAAAGGTGCAAAACGGTAATGTACCTACCTAAAATTTCCTTTTTTTTTTAAAGAAATCTAATTGTCATATTTTGGTGATTGTGTCAATTCTAGAACAACCGCATTCGCAACAATTAAGTGACGGCTATCAGGAGTCAACCACTAGGGACAGCGAACGGGAGTGCAGTTGCTAGATTTTCTAACTGGATTTAGAGCAACCTCTGCTTTTGGAATTTCTGATTCTCCAGATCCACCATCATTAGACTGATGCAAAATTTGAAATTTTCGCTCCACAGTGCTCAAACGGTTCCAAATTGGGCCCTAACTAGCCTCCAAAAAATTTGAACTCATTTAGTGAGAACCTGACTTGGCACAAATCATTTGAAGTTTATATGGGAATTACTATGGAGAAACCATAATTTCGGTTCATATCTATCCCAAAATTCACCAGTTCACTCTACTTTAGAAAATGATAGCTGGGCTTGTTGAAAATTTTCTCAGTTGAAGACCACTTTTCGATCAAATTTAAGGAACAAAAATTATTAATGATTCAAGTCACTGATGTCTTATGATTATGCTCAATCAACTGGCAACATTGGTGTTTATGGCACGTAGAATATAATATAATATAATATAATTTCTATCTATATCTATAGAGGACAAACATCATGGCTACTATGTTACACTATAGAATACAGTGTTGCCCACAATACAGTTGCTTAATCTTGCCATAAGATTATCAATCTCTTAAACAATTAATAACTATTTAATTTGACGTTTGGCTGAAAGTTGGAGCTGATAAAAATTCCCATAAGAATAGCAATAGAATTTGTTAACAGTACAATATGTCAAAAGGCTAGAAGACAATGAACAAAAAGTTTTATTTTCCCATATTAATTTCCATATAAACTTCAAATGGTTTGTTTTTTTTTTGTTTATTAATATATTTGATAAGGCTCAACCGAATTAACTTTACAGAGCCGAGGATTCTTGGTCACTATACAATACATCTGAAAACTATAGTCAAAAGGTACAACACAATAAACACTTTATCTTCCGCTATCCAAAAAGCCTCCTCCATCAGAACTGGAGCCGCTTCCAGTGGTTTGATTGTATGGCAAATTGTTGTACGCCAACGAGGGTCAGAGCGCGTCCATTGCAGCAATGGACGCAAAACGTGGTCAGCACTCACACACTCATCACGAAACGGTTGCTTTCCAAAGTCGACGACGCATCGACCGAAAGAACTGCTGATGAAGAACAATGAGGAGGACCACACAATGGTTGCTGCCGAGAAAACAGACGATCGCGTAGCACACATCGAGAGTGGCCTGCTTTTGTCGACAGCCGAGTGAACACTGCAAATCGTTTGAGTCAAGCAGAGTTTTGCATTTTCGAAACAAAGAAAAGAAAACTGAACCCTCCGCAGAATCGCTTCATTTCGAGCAAAATCCGTCCAAAATGGCGGCCATCGGGTTTCAGAAAAAAGTGTCAAATACCCTACAATAGGGTATTTTCGGAACGGGGATGCCACGTAGATGCTGAAAATCGATACCCGACGCCATTTTGGAATTCAAGATAGTGGCCATTGGTTTTATGAAGTGTCAAATACCCTAAGATATGGGCATTTTCGGAACGGGAACAACGCGTAGATGCCAAAAATAGATATCCGACGCTATGTTGGAATCCAATATGGCGGCCATCAGCATTCAGAGAGTGTTAACAATCTAACTACAATATGGGTATTTTCGGAACGGGGACGACGCGTAGATGCCGAAAATCGGTATTCGACGCCATTTTGGAATCCAAAGATCATAAGATCTGGGTATTTTTGGGTCGTCCTCGTTCGTAGATGCTGAAAATCGATATTCGATGCCATTTGTAGGTTATTTGACACTTATTCTGAAATCGGAAGCCCGATTTAAAAAAAAACCACATTGATCGGTATTTGACAATATTTCACAAACCAAAATCATACCCGCCAACCTGAAAATAATGGGTTGGGACATATTTTGGAAGAATTTTTTTTTGACACCCAAAAACCCTCCAAATCTCGATTAGAGCCGTATTTACGGAGATAAATCGATTTAAAGATTTTCATACCCGCCAGCCTGAAAATACCCAACCCATTATTTTAAAGCTGGCGGGTATGAAAATCTTTAAATCGATTTATCTCCGTAAATACGGCTCTAATCAAGATTTGGAGGGTTTTTAGGTGTCAAAAAAAAATTTCTTCAAAAAAATGTCCCAACTCATTATTTTTAGGCTGGCGCGTATGAAAATCTTTAAATCGATTTATGTCCGTTAATACGGCTCTAATCAAGATTTGGAGGGTTTTTAGGTGTCAATTTTTTTTTTCTAAATTTCTTGAAGTATGATAGCTTTCAAGTTCAGAACTAGTTCAAATCATTTTTTAGGAAATATGCATGTTCCAAAACCAAAAAAAAAAAAGATTTATTTTATTGAATTTATTCGTAACTGAAGATTAGTCCACTGTGAATCTTCAAAGTTCAAAGTGTGAGTGGAAATAACGAGAAAAAATAAATGGTTGTATTTTAAAATTCATTATTTTCTTTAAAATATCCTAAGCAAGAATTTTTTTTTAATTTTAAATTTTAAAGAAACAAAAAAAAAGTAGAAGGGTCTGTGCCTAGGGGCACGAACGGAAGCTTGACGTAGGACCGCTAGTGGACGGAATATGTGAAGAGCATTAAGTTCTTTTAATTGATCATATATCTATTATCTCAACTCTTTCCGCTTTTGAATTGCAGGCGTACCAAATTTGTAGTAATCTTTTTAAAAGAGAAACCCGCATAAGCGCGAACCATAAATTGACCTTACCGATAATGGTTATAAATTGTTTATAATCCCTGCTAAACTTCAACTGAAATGGTTATGGAACTTTACATGAACGTTTAATGATAAAGTTTTAACCTTAAGTATTATAGTTTTTTGGAAGTGGACCTTACAAATAATGGGTTGTTAAGAACCATTACCATTCAAAATTCTTGTTTTCTCCATACATTTTCGGAAAGAAAACTATACTGAAACCTTTTAACTTATGGTTTGAGAACATTAATGGTAATGGTTATGGTAACCAGTAAGGTCCATGAATGGTTTTGTAACATCGATCAACTTTATGTGGAATATATCGTGAATTGGTAATCAGTAATGTACAGGCAACCAATTCGCGATATATTCCACATAAAGTTGATCGATGTTACAAAACCATTCATGGACCTTACTGGTTACCATAACCATTACCATTAATGTTCTCAAACCATAAGTTAAAAGGTTTTAGTATAGTTTTCTTTCCGAAAATGTATGGAGAAAACAAGAATTTTGAATGGTAATGGTTCTTAACAACCCATTATTAGTAAGGTCCACTTCCAAAAAACTATAATACTTAAGGTTAAAACTTTATCATTAAACGTTCATGTAAAGTTCCATAACCATTTCAGTTGAAGTTTAGCAGGGATTATAAACAATTTATAACCATTATCGATAAGGTCAATTTATGGTTCGCGCTTATGCGGGAAGTTGATTACGAGAATCAATCACTTGCACCCCTGCTTCCAAGTTTGTGTGGTCGTTGGGGGCTTGTGGTTCTGAATATGGACAAACAAGCACAGATAAATTCTATTCCAACTATTTACTGATGTAAGCTTGATGGCCCTGAAAAGGGCCGTTTTATTGAAGAGAACATCCATGGCCACTTACGCTTGGCGTGTTTAGTGTAGGTGATAGCATCACGGACCTCATTTTCCAGGAACACCTTCAACACACCGTAGATCAGACCGGAGATACATCAGACACCGCCACGGCGAGCCAGACGACGGATGGTGGTTATCTCGAAGAATTTGCGATGACGATTGGCACCTCCTTTGCCACGACCAGTCAATTGTTGCTTGTTAGGCTATAGAAAAGTGGACTAACCACCTTCCTACTGCTGCTATTGCTGACCACGCCGTCCGAAGCGAAAATGAGCTGATACCAGACTTGACTTTTTTACTGACTTTAAATGATCTATATTTCTTGTGAATTTGTGTGGTTTACATGTATAACTTATCAAGTGACACATATGCGTCTTTTCAACTTTAGGAATAGGAGCTTTTCGTCAAACAACATCCCGAGATAGGTTACTTCGGCGGACCACTCAACCCTTGTGCCATCCATGATTACAGTACAAAAGGGGGCCGGTTTTAGTTTGGGTGATTGCCGATGGAGGAACATGATTGTTTGTGTTTTGGAAGCATTGATTTTGATTTTCCACGTGGTGGCATAATCAGCAAAGGCGTTAAGGCATCGTTGAAGTTTGTTCGTTATTTCGCGAGGCATCCTTCCTTTGACGGCTATTGCGGTATCATCTGCGAACAGGAAAAACACGCAACCGTCTCCAAGGGGAGGAATGTCGGAAGTGTAAATGCTGTAAAGCAAGGGGCCCAGCAGACTGCCTTGCGGGACTCCTGCTGAGATGGAAAATGTGTCGGAAAGACAACCATTCAACGATACCTTAAACGACCTTTGCTGGAGGTAGCTACGGGTGATTTTAACCAGATGTAATGGAAAGTTGAAGTTACAGAGCTTGTATACAAGCCCATTGTGCCAGACATTATCAAACGCTTTCTCAACGTCTAACAAGGCCATGGCTGTGGACTTGGATACAGCTTTGTTACTTCGGATGTTATTCATCACCCGCACTAGCTGGTGATTGGTGGAGTGCCCCTTTCTGAACCCAAACTGTTCCGGAAGGAGAATGTTATTTTCCTCGACAAACTTGAGCAAACGATTGAGAATGAGTTTCTCGAACAATTTGCTCAGCGCTGAAAGGAGGCTGATTGGTCTGTAGCTTGAAGACAA